GGTCATCGTCGGCAACCGTGGTGGACCGTTGGTTTTCGTGCGCAATGACCTCATTTGTTTCTGGGAATGGGCGAGTATACCTTAGCGTTCATTGCTTGCATAATATATCCGTTATCAGAGCATTTTTCGAGTAAAACACAAGAAAATGCTGGAAAATAAACAATTTCTGGTGTTAAGGCATTCATTTTATATGTTTCGGGATTTCGCGCAGTCATTTATAGATATTTATTTTGATATTCCAATTTTAATAAATTTTTTAACCACTCTGCATTTAAAAATTCGGAAGTGACTTCAGATGAAATCAAATCTCAAAATTTTTCTGTAGAGCTCAAACAGATGTACACTCTTTCTTAATTTTTTAGACTTCCGTAAAAAAATATGTTGCACACAAAATTCCTATTAAATCCCTTCATTTAGATGTTCACCATCACCTATACTCATCCAGTTCTCCTATTCCTTATCCTACATCGACTATCGGCTGAACGTCGTGTTATTCCCATGGAACGGCCACCAGATCTTCTTCCTAGTAACCCCTTCCTTCTCCCACAAGCCAACATCTCCCCAATATCTGACTGGCCACCCCTAACATCACCTCTCACACCTATGAATCTGTTCCAACCTTTAGGGGAGAACCCCATCCCTCCAACTTATTCCCCTTTCAAATCGGACTTAGGTACTATGCAAGAATATGCAATTCCTGGCCCTGCAACCCCGATCATTGCTGCTCCGCCAGCACCTTTGCTATTTCCTTCACCTTTTGTGCTACCTCCTCCAACTCTTCCTCCTCCACCCTCTGCTCCTATCACATTCCCATCAATTTACCCGAACCCAAGGAGAAGCACTGTAAAGCCCATTAACATCGATCCAGAGGCTATAATGGCTGTGGTAGGTAATTTTACGAATTCCCTTATGACTATTTTTTTTTGAAATAAATTGTTGGCATTTGTACATGCCATTATACTAAAAGTCTAATTAATTCTTTTTGAAATCTCTATTTTCTTGTTGATTTTCCCTTTTTTGCTTTCTACTCGTTTGGTAATGTTTTCAGCCAGAGATTATCCAACATTGGGGATACCCTGTAGAAGAGCATCAAGTGACAACTGCGGATGGTTATATTCTTACTCTACACCGCATACCACACGGGAAAAGTAAGTGATTCAAGCCTAATATCTTCAAAAGAATACATATATTGAAAGGAAATTTTGCCCTAAGGCCATTACCTTAAATATTTTCAGAGAACGCAAATTCGACATCTGT